CTTACCTACATGGTCTCGTGTTGAATTTTAAAACCGCACGTTGTCATGTTATCACGCATCACCGTCACTTGGAGAGAGCGGCGCCGTGGTTGGGGCAACACATCCCTAGCTACTGGGGTGCAGCATCCCTTAGCAGTTCTTTGATACGACGGAGGTTCGCGAGTGGATCCGAGGAAAGCCAGTCAATACCCGGTCGGAGACCGATCCGGAGGGCGGACCGGAATTATCGCTAACACCATGAATGAAGGATTCACCAACAGCAATGCGATATGCCGCACCACTTCGGATTGATACCCGAATTAATTAATTATGAAGAGGAGGTTGGCCGAGATGATTATTTCTAACGGAACTGAAATTTATGAGGCGATTACAATTGGACTAAAAGTGGAAAAGTTTCACGGAAACTACACAAAAGTAAAAGTTGCGGAAAGAAACTAATCGAATAAAAAAGTAATAAGGAAAACATTTTTATTTACAAGGGATTAAAAACTCAAAGAAGATTTTTGTAATTTGTAGTTGAAATATGTTCTATGCAAATATTGGTGGATGCGCCGGGTTTAACAATTTTAATTTTCAGTGTGTTATTTAATTGTTTTTTTATAGTTAGTTAACAATAAATAAAAACTACTGTGTTAAGGCACGATATAATATTTTTGTCTTCTTTCTTATTGATTTAAAGTATCAAAAAAGTCCGATCTATTGCTGGAAAAACTTTGCAAGGAATGTTAGATAAAAACTACATAAATCATAACAATTTTTATTTATATACCAGGCGAGATGAGACTTATCTGCACCCCTACACTTTTTTAATTACTTGCTAAAATTATAAAATGTATATAAAAGTTTTTTTAAATTATTTGTCTAAAGAAAAGAATAATAAATAAGAAATGTTATAGAAAAATTAAATAAAATTATGTGTTATGTTCGAGTTATGCCATTTTTTTTCAAAATGACAACTTAGGTATAGCTATTTGAATTCTTTTGATAAAATTTGAATATAATGTAGAAAGTTGTAACCTTTAAATGATAGAATTTTGTAAAAAAAGTTTTATAATAGATTGACATTAAAAAAATGCGAAATAACAAGAAATTTCGAAAAAAAATATCACATTTTCATTATACTTTCGACAAGTAATTAGTTAATGCAAAAAACATTTGGTTTCGTACTTGTTGTTTACCATTTTATATTATTTTACAAAATAGATAACTTAATTTATTTTTGTTTTGTTTTTACAATTTATTTATTTCATAAAATTTAGAAAAATAATTACACCAAAATAGTACCGGGAGACTATTAATGTTTGTGACAAAAAATCTATTGGCAAAACTGCTAACATTGATAATCCTTTTAATTTGTTATTTAGGATATTTCAGGTGACGACTAAAGCCAGCGGTTGCCTGTCCCAAGTTGAGAATCAATGTCGCCAAACTAAAATTTTAAAAATGACAACTTGACTTAGCAAAAAAAAATCAAATTTAAGTAATTTTGTGGCAGTAGGTAGTGTTATTCATGTTATTCATAAACATGAGCTTAAACGGTCATTTGTCATTGTGTGTAATTTGGAAATGAATTTACTTCCCATAGCATTGTTACCAACATTAAAAACATAAAACACACTAGGCTATTAACGCACTCTGAGAAGCTTTTAACGCACCCAAACGAGTTCTTTAATAGGGTTTGTTTCTTTTTTACATCAACTGATCGAAAATACGTGTTACAAAATCAATCTACAAAAATTTTAGTTGAACTCTTTTAGTAATGACATTTTTAAACTTTTTAAATTCACTTGTTTTAAGTTTAATGTTTTTACATAAATTTAATTATTTTTTTATTTATGATGTTTGTTATCATAAGTGAACAACTAATTGGGTCAACGAAAATGTTTTAGCACAACATTTTTTTTTTACTTTAAGCCATTTTTTTAATGTTCCGTCGTTTTTATGTTGGCTTATTAATAAATCACACAATTAAGTAAAGAGCTTTTTTTGTTTAAATTCTAATTTAACTTGAAAAAATTTTGAAAATCTAAAGTGAAATAATTTTGATGTGTTCATTTTGTTTAATAAAAAATTTAGTAGGTAAATGACTTCCTCTAATAATTGACTGATACAATTTGATAACTATCCAAAGTTCAAGCTTAAATTTTCAGCCGTTTCAGGCTCGTTTTTGCCCCACATAGGCGACTTATTCGATTTAGTCGAGTGTTTTATTGCGAAAAAGTGTCGCCTTTAAAGGAAATTCCAGATAATTTATGTTCATTTTTTATTAATCAATTTATCGATTAAACGAAAGAAAACATTCCATTCCAAATGGAATGCTCACATGTTGGATACATTTCAGTGCAATTATGTTGTTTGTTCGCTGCCAAATCGTATTCGTCTCTTTCTTGGTGTCCTTCGTCTTGATGGTGTCTGACTCTGTAAACATGCAAAAAATTTCTAAATTTCTCTAAAACTGGATTACTTGCCTAAAAATAACTTTGATGAGTTCTTCGAGAAAAGTGCCTCGTTCGGTGGTTGCTTTGCTGACTTCGCAAACGGCTTTGAGCAAACAAGCCTTGCCGTCTCTACTTAGTCTGCAAATAGATTTTGTTTAAACAATGCTTCTTAGTAAATTACGCGCTTACTGATCGATTGAGAGTATTTTTTCAACTCTTTGCTAAGCAAACAAAGATGAGAGCACTTACCCCGTGAACAACTTTTCTATCTTGGCGTATAAATCTCGACGCGTCCTTCTGTATATCTTGTGGTAAACAGGATGCAAATAAGTTGTGACAGGCTCGTTATAAACTTTTTTCTTATTTTGTTGAATAGTTCGATACCTATGAAACAACCAGTTTATTCTCACTCTACAAAAATTTTAACAAAAATTACTGATTTGTTTTGCGATAATAAGTTTTCTTTTTTGCCTCAACTGGTGTCATTGGCACAAATCCTTTAATAGTGCTATAACCAACCCCTGGTGGTTTATTGATAAGGAAAGGGTTGTAATAAGTTTTTTTATAAGTGACAGATGTTGGCGATTTGGTGTTTTGTAACTCCCAACCGCCGGAAGTTTGCTTTTCAGGCTTGTCAACGCGATGGAGTAGTTCAGAGGGCCTTCTAAATGGTACAAAAGGATCGTGCGGTAATTCCCAAGCCAAGGCAACAGTGGAGCCAACGGTGAAAATTTGGCCCACGCCGACGGATGGCATGGTAAAACAGTAAACTGCAAAGAAATGACTAATTAAGTTAATTCGAACAACGCTACAATTTTGGAGATATTTCATTTATAGTTTTGAGTGTTTGTCAAAAAATTAAAACTGTTTCTTTTTTAATAAAAGAACAGATATTCTCATCTGTGTTTTAATCCAATAGAGAAATTTAATGGTTTTTCTAAATTGCATTTGTATACTTATTAGAGCCATAAAAAAACAAAAACAACATTTGTCAGAAAACTGTTTTTTTTCTACTTTGCATCTGAAAGAAAGCTTATTTCGATACAAAAACCGATGCTTTAATGAGCCATTTCAACACCAATTCGGGAGCTGAAATAAACTAGTACAATTTACTTTCTAGATGGTGGTGATGGTGATTTTCAGCGGCGTTTTGAGCGATATTTTTGTTTTAGGTGGTGTACATGAAATATTTGCAGTATTCATTGTTAATTTAATAAAATTTTGAAAAATATTCGAGACTTGACACTTCAAAATCGAATTTTTGAAACTTTGTGACATTTATTACCAACCACCACCTTATTAGGGCAAAAATTCTTAAATTCTGAATTTTTTTTTTTTAAACAGTACGTAAAATGCTCAAAATAGAGGAAATAAAACATAAAAACTCGTTTCATAAGTCATTTGTGGGTATTCGATTTTTATAAAACTCGCGCTTAGCTGCTCGTTTCATAAACTTTAACTTATTTCACAAAGCATGCCTTACATTTTCCAGATACATTCAGAATATAACGTGAATAATAAACAAAAACCTTGTATCTACTTAATAAAAATCTCAAATTAAAATTTATTTTATTTTAGTTTTGTTTGTTTCCGGGCGAAATCCGGAGGTGAAGTTGAGATATTTTTTTAGCATTTAGAAACCCGGAAAAGTGTCAAAACTGTTACGGTCTTTACATTAATTGGAAAAATTTGTTTAAAATTTCGACGTTTTCGGCTGTAAGAAAATAACTGATTGAGTTAACTCAAATAACTGATATTTTAGGGATCTTTTTGTTTGTTTAAGCTAATGAGGATGTTTAACTTGAGTTGAACTGTTTGCTTAGGGCGAGCGCTGATTTTTCCGGAAAAATGATTTTTCCGAGTAGTGAAACACGCAATAACAGTTGATAGATTTATTTCCATAGATTTTTAAATTTAATTTCAATATCTAAATTTTCATTTTAGACGAAACGGCCGGAGATAAGCTTTAAAAAATGTCCTTCTGAATTAATAGGGCCGCTAGCACGTGCTGCGTTTTCTTATGAAGATTCACTCAAGTGTCAAGTTTGTCAATACCCGGAAGCCCCCGTTTTATCTAATGGATTTTTAAACAGGAACAAGACAATTTATCTCTTACGCTTCCTGAAATTTATTGTTTCATATTTCAATTTTATCAGAAATCTTTTCAAGGTTTTGTGTTGGTCTCCAGAGAAGTAAAAATTTGTCTGAGGGGTGTGTCAAATCAAAAGATTGACACAATTTAACGCACAATAAAAAAATAAGTACTGACCTAGTTGCAGAGAGCTTCCCTCCGGAAAAATAAGATATCTTCGTTTTCTCGATAAAGTTTTGTCAGTGTCGTTTAGCCGCGCTATTATATCATTTTGCAAAGTTTGCAATGTTGCTTTTATCGCAAAAATTGCAAGAATCGCGAGACACAAAGCTTTCGTTGCCATTTTTGCACCGACTATAGGAATTCCACTTGGGTTCTAAACCGCTAATTGTTTCAACCGTTGTGAAACGGTACATTTTTCGCTGATTAAATTATCGCAACTGTTCTAATACTGGATTTATTGGCCACAGTATGGCCACTTCTTTGGGAAAAATGAAGCTCGGGTTGTACTTCATCGGAGTTTTTATGTTGTTTGTTCCTGAAATAAATTCGGGTGGATCTAAGAATGACAGAGGAATTCTTTCGCGTCGTAAAAGATATGTGGCTTTCCCGGATGGATCCACGTTGATTGTGAGTTTTTTTTTGTTTTGCTACCTGAAATTACAAGAGGGGTTGTAGTGGGCGTTCTGTATGACGGCTCAAACGATTATTCCCGGAGGAATTTTCACCGAAGGGGTGAATTACGGCGTGTCCTACGATTTGCCTAATAGAACCACATTTCGGGAATATTTCGACGACAAGAAGAATTTTATTCTGAGGAGGAGACATAGGAGAGATTTGTACAGCAAAGCCGAAGTTATAATGGACTCGTAAGTGGGGCATACGTGAGGGTTAAGGGCCTTAGGGAAGGGCGTTACGTGCTGTTGAAATAATGTCACCGAAATCTTTGTTCTAGCTGAACAATTTCTTACATTTTTTAGGATGGGGTTCGACGGCAGGACTTGTATCTATCGTGCTTTATGTGAAGCTTCTCGGATGGGTCGTAAAAGCTCCACTCTATCAGAACAATTGATCCGTCTTGTGTTCAAGTAAGTCATTTAGTATGAAGTTGAAAATTAAAGTGATTGCGAGCGACTTCCGCTTTAAGCGAGAAGATAATTAATCGGTATTGATTGATAGGTTTCCGGGAGAGACCATATCGGTATTCGAACCTGAAGAGCATCGCTTATATCATTCAGCTTATCGCCGAGCACGACAAAACAAGCAACAGGATTGTGCCGACATGTTTCCAGCTTGCACGATATCGCTTGTGGATCTTGCGCTAGGATATTACAACGATTATGCACAGGAAGCTCATCAGCTCACATCAAACGACGATTTATGATTTTTTATCACCCCTCATCAAGTTAATAAAATTTAAAGTAAAACGTGTTTTAATTTTATGCTTTTATACAAAGTCAACAAAAATTAGGAAACCAAGCCTTTTGCTGTAATTGTGTTTTGAGAATGAAATTTTGTTTTGTTTTTAAATTATGCGATTTTTGTTTTCAAAATAACAATTTATATGAAATTTTTTAGACAGTTGTAATCTTTGGGTCATAGTTTTTGTAAAAAAAGGTTTTATAGAAGATTGCTATTTGAAAAAATATTTGCAAAACTTAAAAACAAAATTTGAAAAAATTTATTCTTTAGAAACGTCCACATTTTTAAAGTTTTTTTTATTTAAAAATAGTTTTTTCAAAACAATAACCAAAAAAAAGCAAACAACGTTTTATACGGTCCGTTTACCTGGTATAATTAATACTTTAGAGTTTAGAATCATAGATGATAATTTTAAAATCTATATTGAGTATCAACAAAACATTAATTTTCTGTAATTGCAAAAACAGTAAAATTTCTGAGAAATTACGTTTTTTTTCCTTCTAATTGTAAAGGTGGTTCCTCCAAACATCTTAACAATGATCAAAAAACATTAAGCTTTTAAAATGCATTTGTAGCCATTTGAAACGCCTTAAAATCGACATTTCTTTATTTAATTCTTTTAAGAGTTTGAAAATTTTATTTTTTAGAAACGTCCACATTTTTATTATTTGTAGTACTTTTATTATTTATCAATTAATTTTTCCAAAACAATAAGCAAAAAAAAAACAAAGCAAATAAACGTTTTTTTTAGACATTTGAAACGAAAATCAACATTTTTTTATTTAAACAAGTGTTAAAATTTTAATACTTATGCAGACATAACTTTTTCGATTGATTTGAAATTGTTATCATTTAAGAAAAATTGCTTGCAAAATCTTAGTGAATTCTCGTTATTGCCTAAAATCTTCACAATTTTTGTTTTAATTTCAGACGTATTTCTAATTTCAAACAATGTTTTCAGCGAATCTGTAAGTTAAAATGTGTTGAGTAACATTTTGTGAAAATTTTTGCGATGAAAATGAAAACTGGAAACTATTCAGGACTCTTGTTACTTTCTTATTATTATTGTTTATTATAAGTAGTTGTTGAAAAATTAAGTTTTTTTTTCTTTAGATAGGAAATACAGCTTTATATATTGCGAAATGTTGCAATTAGTAATTTCGAACCCAATTCATTTAGCAAAAGAGTAAAATTTAAAAAGAAATAAAAGAAAAAAAATAAGAAAAAACTGGGCAAAATGTGGTTTCAGAGAGGTAAAACAGTGTAAAAATAATTTGTCAAGTTAAAATGTTCTATTAAAAGAAGTTTTTGTGTTGTTGGCTGATATTAGAAGGTGATCTTAAGAATTTTTAATTAATAATTTAATAAATTTTAATTAATAATTAATTCAGTGTTTTAGTCAAGTGATTGTTTTTGAAGATTTTAAAATTTTGTCAATGTAGCTACCAACTTGTAAAAAAAGCAGATCACCTACTACAACAAGTAATTTTTTAGGATTATTGTAGATTATGGATAATGTAATACTGATTTTTTTTTTGAGTTTTAATTTAATTACAATAATAACAAGCTTTACAGTTTTCTTACAAATTGCAAAATTTTAAATTAGACTTTTGCTGTCTTTTGACATCAGATAACTAACATACGCGTTTTTTATTTATTTACCCAATTATCGTCAACGCAAGAAAATAACAGTGTTTTCTCCCCGTTTTCTCACAGAGTTATTGACTGCAAGATGACACCAGCTCAAAGCCTATTTCGATTTATCATTATCGTAATTTTTACGAACTTTGTCTCCTCTAACGAGCTTTTATCTCGTAAAAAGCGATATCTCGTATTTCCCGAAGGCTCGAGTTTATCCGTACGTATTTAGTTAATTTAACTTAATTTGAAATTTCCATTTTATCTCTTACATTAGCCGAATTTAATTTTCAGATCGCAATATGCATGACTGCTCAAACGGGAATAACTCCAGGTGAAATATTCACTGAAGGCATAAACTGGGGCATCTCGTACGAACTCCCAAATGACACGAAACCGTTTAAAGAACTCTTGGATAAACCGAAGGAAGTGATGCAGAGGCGACATCGGCGTGAACTTTACACGAAAATAGAAACCATAATGCGATCGTAAGTAAATTTTTGTGTCAACTTAAGAGATAACATAACTTGTTTGCAACAACAGAATGGGTTACAATGGACGCGACTGTGTTTTAAGAGCTTTATGTGAAGCTTCACGGTTAAAACCGAAAGGAGAAAGTCTCGTCGATGAAATTTTACGAATCGTGTTCAGGTCAGAGGGCTCCGATAGCTTGTATTTTATAATGTTGATATTGCTGTTTCAGGTATCCGGAGTATAATAAAGGAGATGAGGGGAAACAGGTTCAGTATAATACAGCGGCGAAAAAACGAATCAAATTCAAGGAAGAATGTTTCGAGTTGTTTCCCGGTTGCCCTTTCTCACTGATTGATCTTGCGCTCGGTTATTACTCTACTTTTTATCATTTGGATTTGTTATAAATCACACAATGTAACAATTACTTGAATAAACAAAGTTCCGTTAGCTAACTGTGAATTATTATCTTAGAGAGTTGTGAACTCAAAGTCGGCTCATTTGCATAATCGCGTTTGAAGATGTTCTCGAACAAACTAACTCTTCTACTAATTTTGAACGTGTTTATTGGAAAATTTACCGAGTCAAGTCGGGAAAAAAGAACCTTGATTTGGGAGCCGAGCCGAGGCAGAAATAGCAGATTACAAGTTAGTACAGTTTTATTAATTTCTGGTAATTTTTTTGTGTTCAGATAATTACAGGGATTGGTGTCCCTCTCGACCTCCAATTAGAGACTGTAGTTATCGGTTGGATTATTAAAGGCTATTATAGATTACCGACAAACGTGTCTGATATAAAACCATTCGGGAATGTTTACTACGAGAGAAGGAAACGGTCACTTTCCAGATGGGATATTTATGATCTTTTGGCTCAGATGTGGCAAATGTGTGATTTATTTTTGTTATTTTTGTGGTAATTTATCAAAGGGTTTTTGTTGTAGGCGTGGATTTGGCGGTAAATCTTGCATATTGAGAGCCATTTGTGAGTTATCGCATAGTCCGCTTGATAGAAATTATGGACTTTTTGATGAATTGATGCATGTGGTTTTCAGGTGATTGCGCCCTGAAACTGAAATTTAATTAATGTGTAATTTTTTGCTTGCATGCTTGCAGTCCAAGTACGACGAAGGAAAAAGTGCGATCGCATAGCGATAATGAATATTTTGCTGCGCAGAAGTTGGGTAGGAAGTCCGGGGAGTCCTGCAAAGCGAAGTTTGATGACTGTCAACACAATTTGTTGGATATGTTTACTATTTAATATTTTTCTTCAATAAAGAATTTCCAGAAATCCTCAAGTTTTACATTTTTTTAAAAGTTCTAAAAATACCTAGGAACTTTGCTAGAACTTTAATTAAAGTATGTAGAATATAATTTAAAATTCACGTTTGTGGAATGCTCAAGAATCAAGAATTTATTACTCTCAATTTTTTAAACAAGCAATTAAAAGTCGAAGAGTATAAAACATTTAATTGCAATCAATTAATTTGTCCTAAAAGACATAAAAAAATTATATAAACAATTAAGCTGTTTTGTTACAATTTTAATTAAGCTTAAACTCGGAAAGGTCTAGTCAGATTTTAAATTGGATTACGTATTAACTCAAGCTACAACTAAAATTAATTTCCCTGGACAGAATTCAAATTGTTTTTTTTACAAACAATTTTAATCTAAACTAAATCAAAGTCGAATCTTTTTTAAATTTTTTGATGTTAACAAAGTTGCAATATAAGAAGAATAATAGTTTTCTGACAAAATAAAGCAATTTGAGCTATTTCCAGTCTAATTTTGCTTGATTTTAATACAAAAACCAATCTAAATCAATGTATTTTATAAAAATAATTCTTTTTATGCCCAAATGAAGCAATTTGTGCTATTCCAAATCAATTAGGTTCAATTTTAAGCCAGAAATCAACCTAAATCAATATATTTCAACAAAATAAATGGTTAAGTAACAGTTTTCTGTCAAAATAAAACAATTTGAACTATTTCCAATTTAATTTTGCTCGATTATAACCCAGAAATCTTTTTAAATCTATGTATTTTATAAACATAATTGCTTAAATAACAGTTTTCCGTCAAAATAAAGCAATTATTTCCTATAGATTTTAAGCCAGAAATCAACCTAAATCAATAAATTTCAACAAAGTAATTGCTTAAATAACAGTTTTCTGCCAAAATAAAGCAATTTAAGTTGTTTTTTGATAATTCAAATGAAGACCCAATAATTTTTAGATTACTGATTTAATTATATTATGTATAAATGTATAGTATGTATAAATGAGAACAAAATTAATATTTCTAATAAACAGAGGCTGTCATAAAAAAAACGCCTAAAATTAAAATATTGTTTTCCTATTTTGTTTTTTTTTATTTAATTTTTTTTATTTTAAAAACTGGATTAAAATAAAAAGTCAAAAATAATAACAAAATTTTCAATACTTGTCAAATGCTGCGACAAATTGACAATCAGCCAAATACTCGATTTATTAAGTAGGCAAGAGTTTGTTAACAATTTTGTTTTCCTTTTTTCTACTTTTGTTAACAAAATTTGCGATTTTGAATTGTTATCAGAGTAGATTTTTATTGTTTATTGCAACTTACCCAAATATTGACCGAAAATTTTCAGTTTTTTACTCATGTGGTATCTGTTCTTTCAATGATGCTTCTTCTGACTCTGAATCAAAAAATCTGAAACTCAATATTTGTGTGAAAAGGTGACACTCCTTCTTCTCTAGACTAATTTTAATATCTAAATATTGGATCACAAATTAGTAGCAATCTGATCTACATAACAGTTACTCAAATTCGACGTGAGACAATTTCAAAATTCATTATTTCAGTCTTTTTCGAAATGCCTAAGATTGTCTTCTTCTTAATTGTTTCTCAATTATTGATAATTTCGGCTCAATTTTTGAGATACCATCCTTTGAGTCGAGAAAAACGAACCCTGATTTGGCCCAAAGGCACCGGAGTGGTCCAAGTAATTACCAGTTTTTTCTGCAAAAATATTTACGCTTACTTGAAGGCAATTGCAGGTTTTGGAATCCCAGTTGATTTGAAAAAAGAAACAGTAATAGTCGGGACTGTCTTCAAAGCAACTTATCACGTTCCTGAAAATGTCACTGAATTAAAAGCTCCTTATGTCACTTACGAACGGAAAAAACGGTCAGCAACTCGATGGGACATTTACAATGTATTGTCACAAGCTTTCGAGATGTGAGATTTGAATTTGAAATTAATTAAATTGTAAAAATTTGACTGACTTCTAGGCGCGGATTTGAAGGAAAACCTTGCATTCTGCGAACTATCTGTGAAGTCGCTCATACTCCCCTCGAAAAGAATTACGGATTTTTCCACGAGCTGATTCACACAATTTTCACGTAAGAAAAATCTTGTTTTTTTTTCAGGTAATAAGAAATCGCAATTGTAGACCAAGCAGTACTAACGAAAATGTCGAATTGAATGCTGATAACGAATATTACGCTGCACAATTGATTGGAAAAGAAAAAGGAAATTGCGGAAAAGTCTTTCACGACTGTCGTACAAGCTTATTAGATATGATCACAATTTATGACAACTTGTAGACTGTTTTTTTTTTGAAAATATAAAATCAACAAGTGTCTAGCGGATCAATTGTGTTATTTTGTTTACTCTTGATGGTATAATTGAGACATCAACAGTTGACACTTGGAAACATCGACCTTACACCTAATCCAATATTTAGTTAGTGAGACATTTCCACAATAAAAATTTACTGATTTGATTAAGGTTTCAATAAGACTCAAATTGGAAATGCAAGTATTCGGGTAATTTAAGATGGCAATCCTTACCCTCAGCAACACTTCCGCCAAAATGATTAAGTGTGAGTCGTTTTTGCTCACTTTTTTCCTTTTATTCATAGTCAAGGGAGGAGATAGTTTAAGCCGCGAAAAGCGGACTTTGATTTGGCCACAGGGCGGTAGCAAACTCCTGGTTAAAACGTTTTTTTTTATTTTTAAATAAAATTCCAATTTGGGGAATTGCAGGCTATTTTCGGCGTCGGAATTCCAGTCGATTTAAAACCAGAAACAGTCATCGTAGGAATGGTAATCAAAGCCAACTATAGATACCCCACAAACGTCACCGAACTTCGCCAACCTTTTGTTACTTTTCAACGAAAAAAACGAGGAGCAAGTCGCTGGGATTTATACGCATTGTTGACACAAGCATTAGAAATGTAAGAATTTCTTTGTGGGAAAGTTAAGTTTGTCAATTTTTTGTTAGGCGAGGGTTTGGAGGGAAATCGTGTCTTTTGCGAACTATCTGTGAAGTTGCGAGAACTCCTTTAGAGAAAAACTTTGGACTTTTCGCCGAACTCATTCATACATTTTTCACGTAAGTTAATAATTTTGCTATGCAGGGAGGAAAGTGTCTTATTACAGCCCGACAACTACCAACGAAGGAGTCACTCACCATAGAGACAATGAGTATTATGCCGCCCAGGTTTTGGGCCAGAAGGGCCACAATTGCGAGCAAATTTTCAAAGAGTGCAACATGAATTTAATTGACCTGTTTACTGTACCTGAATTTTTCAATTAATTAATAAAGTCATATTTTTTTATTAGATTTTATTTCCAACAAATCGGGTTACAACCTTCGTTTTTTAATTTTTCTTATTCATGAGAGCATTTTGGTGAATTGCTGAATAAAATTTAGCGGACATTCTGGAAATAACGCCTCGCAATTGTCTACTTCCTTCCCGAGTTTTTCAGCGGCGTGATACTCGCAATTCAGATGATTGTCGAGCGTTTCCCTCGTCGTCGACGGCCTAAAACCACCTTTAAAAAAATTCGATAAATTTCTTACGACTCACGTCAGAATCGCGTGAACAATTTCAGCCAAAATTCCTGTTTTTTTCTCAAAGGGTTTGGCGGAAACCTCGCATATGCTCCTCAAAAGACACGCTTTCCCATCTCCGTAGCCGTTTCTTTCAAAAAAACCCTCGATTAATTTATATGCCACCCACCGGGTCGAAGAACGTTTTTTCCTCGCATAATCGATAGAGGGGTGGGTGTAGTAGGTGCTGTTATTGGGGAGTAAATAAAACGCTTTTACTACTGTTCCCACAGTGATGCTTTGATCTCGTAATTCAATCGGGAGTCCTATTCCTGCAATCATCTTTCAAGGGTTTTATTAATGTTAATACAAGTTTAAATTGATTGCAAAGTGTACCTGGACCCAGTTGATACCTTCCTTCCAGATTAAATAACGTTTTTGTCGCGATAATAACTCACCACTCGTGTCCAAAAGGCCACAGATTGAGTGTATTAAAAGGGTTAGGATTGACAAATTTAGCAGGATTTTCATGATTTTGACAGATTTGCTTAACTTGGAGTGATGTATTAAGTTAAACGACCTTCTGTCGCAGTCTCTTGTGTAAGTAAGAAAGTTAGCGGTTGGGTACTAATTGACAAACGAGAGGAACATCTGGTTGAATTTATTAGCAAAAATTTTTGATCACAATTACAATTTAAGTTTGGTAAACAAATTTGGCGTCTTTGTACACGTAAGGGCAATTATCCGAGTGGTGCTCGCATTTGTTGACAAACGCTTTAAAAAATTCCGATTCGGCAGTTAACGAGCTGAAAAAATCAAATCATTCAAACGTTAAAAGCCGTGATTTATTACCTGAGTATAATGTTACCGATGCCGCAGAAAATGCCACACTTTTGCGCCGCTTTCACCTCCGCGACTCTCTCGCAGATGTATTTGAGGATGCAGGAATAGACTCCACGAAGGGACCTATGGAAAAATCAACCGAAGAATTTTTAACACGGAAACTTACTCATCTGCGATGCCGTCTAATTCGGCGTGAACGTCTCTCTTGAAAAATTGGTGTCTCTTGGGAATTGTCTCCGGGAGGTCGTAATTTATCCTGAAAGTCCATCCATGAGCGAAAATTTCGGTGTAATTTAACATATTGTCTTTGCCGTTCAATCTGACCTAAAAATGCCTCAAATTGGGTGATTTTTTAAGGATGAATACGTACGAAAAATTTGCTACTTTTACTGAAAACAACTTTTCTTTTTACTCGATGTTTGTATTCGGAATTTGCGCCATTCGAAGCGACGATAACACTCAAGAACACCAAACAAGATAATGGCAATAAAAGTTTGACGATTGTCTCGTGCATTATTCCGGAGATTATTTTCAAGATTTTGTCGCGATGCTTATCGATTTTGACACAGAGTACAGTAACATAAATATAGTTTACAGTTGAGTAAACCGGACGATGTAGCGGTTTATTTTTCCAAACAAACATATCTGATTCAATTTCACACTTTTTCCTAATTGGATCATCCGAGATTTCCTTCGAAGATTTCCCTAATTAAGTGGCGCAAATTTCCTCAGATTTTCCGCTCCGTAAATCAACATTGATTTTTGCTTAATATTTTTTACACAAAATGAAACGGGAGCGATCAAACAACATTAATTTTTACTATTTCATTTTGCAACCAAACAAATTCTCGGTTAAGTAAATAATCAAACAAAAATAAATAAATTCTTTTGCTTTTATTGAAACATTTAACAAATACGTGTCAAGTTTTTATCATTAGTTAAACTCTAGTTTGTGGAAATGCAACACGAGATGCTCTTCAGGATAATCCTTATCAATATTTTAATAAATTTCGTTTTTTCTCACGTTACTAAAACAGTCCAACTTAACCCATTAGTGCGAAAAAAACGATATTTGACATTCCCTGAAGACAGCAATTTAGTGGTGAGTAAGTAACACTTTTATAATTCTTTTCGTGAGTAGATAGATGGAGGGAGGAGCTTTATTTTAAATTTTAAAGCCGTTTTGGGGGTTAAAATATTCAGACAAGTATCAGGAGCTCAAGGATTTTAGGATGTGTACATGCAAATTTTGTTCAAGTGTTTGAACGAGAGGGTGAGTCAAATGACACACCATAATTCAAAAACACTGACTTCAACTTAATTAAAATTGAAACACTTTAAGAAAAACAAAATTGTACTTATAAATTTATAATTCTTTGGCTTGTTTGGTTAAAAATCAGTGATTTTGGAATGGTTAAACCTTTACTGTATTCTCCAGATTCGGCGGTGGAGACCTAATCGATAAAACAGCGCTGAAATAAATCTAGTTTAAAGTAATTAAACTTTGTATCTGAAACAATTGTTGTTAATCAAACTAATACATTTAATTTAATTTTAGCTAACTTTATCTCTCCTCAAAGCCTTACTAATTGTCCAACCTCGAGGATGGAACCTTGCGTTGGAAATGGACATACCTTTCAATCTTCCAAGTGACACAAGATGGTTCAAAAAACGAAAATTGCACAAACGCGATGTTTTGTTTCAATTGGAGAAAGCCTTTTTTCAGTATGGTTCAAATATGGGTTCGATGAAGCGTAACATCAGTTATTTTCAGAGGGGGTTTGAATGGCAGTGCATGTGTGAAAAGAATGATTTGTGACGCTCATCATTATATTCATACGGAAGGAAAATCTCTAGTCGCAAACTTCTTATCGGCTATATTCATGTAAATGTTTTTTGATAAGACGTGATTTAGGGTTTGAAGTTGTTATTTATTTTTTAGGTCCTCTGAAATTGATTTCGGAGTGAGATACGAGGATTCCTGTCGTGCCATAACGGCTCTGGAATGCGAAATACCATTTCTCAGCTACATTTTAGGAAGTTTGTTTACCACATAAAAATTATTTGAAGCGGAAACGTGCCTTATTTTTAGAGTTTATTGAGGAAAATGCACAAGTGAATGTGAGCCATCAGATTGAAAACTAGGCGATTAATTTTTCTACTCTATTTAGTTTCAATAAATGCGAAACAAACTTTATATTTATCTGTTGGGTGTATTGTTTGTGTTTTTACTGGCAGTAAATTTTAATAAAAGTCAACAACATGTTTATTTATTCCTAAAATTTAAATTTGAAAAACAGGAATAAATTGTTTTTCTTATCCCTTAAAAGTCCTTGGAAGTAATGTATCAACTAATGTTTATTTCATTTCAAATCAATGTTTTATAGTAATTGTATTTGTTCAAAGTATAAGTTTAGATAATGATAGTGCAACAGTATGTTAAAGTTATATAAGTAAAAGTAATTACAGTCACAAACAGCTTGAAGTTTTGCGAAAATGTTGGGTTACTACAATTACCTGATTGAAATTGGGGGTAAGTTTAGCTTCATCTTTTTTTTTACTTAAAGATTTTTTCTAGATACTTTAATAAAAAATAAATTTTTGTTAAACAGTCCAACACCAAGTTTTGTCTTTCTAGCAATTTATTTGTTGCTCATTTATGTAATTGTACCCCAGTATATGAAAAAGAAAGAACCTTATACACTCAAAACTATTATTTTCTTTTACAATATATTTCAAATAGTTGCTTGCACATACGTTGTTTACCAAGTAAGTGAAGTACGATTACTGAAAAATTTAATACACTATATTTCTAGTTTATGACACCACTTTCAGAACCTTTATATAACTGGAATTGCGATACTTTTACGCACGAAAACACTCCCAAATCACAAAGACGCTTAAAAATCTGTTATTACGTTTTTCTAATAAAAATTGTAGAATTGGTGGAAACTGTCTTTTTCCTAATGAGGAAAAAACTCAACCAAATTTCAGGTCTTCACATTTATCATCATACATCAACATTGTTACTTGTTTGGTTTCTAACGAGATATTATCCAGGTATGTGTTTTTTTTATGTTGGCAGTTTTAAATTTATTTCTTTCAGGAGGACTTACAGCATTTTGGTTTATGTTAAATTCTGGTGTTCATGTCCTGATGTACAGTTATTATTTCGTCACAACTTTGGGGCCTGGATTTCAAAAAGTGTCAAGCTTTTTAAAGCCCATTATGACTCTAGTTCAAATGGTTCAATTTGTTATAATAATAGTTCATGTGTCTCAAATAATTTTAAACCCGAAATGTGGTTTACCCTTTATCGTTTTCGGGATTGTTGTCTTTGATGCAATTTTCTTGTTTTTTATGTTTGCAAGCTTTTTCAAAGCGACTTATCTTCGAAACGACAAGAAGAAAGTTAAATAGAAACAGGGTGTTATTTTTGTAGCCAATTAAAAGTTCTGAAAACGTTGTGTTGTATTATTTATACCCAAATTAAACAAAGAAGTGTTAAAATTTTACTCACATATTTAACCGACTTGTAACAGTTGTTCCAGTTCCATACTGAAATTAATTAGTTACGAGATGACTTTTTTAAAATTTGTTATTTTAGTTTCTTTGATTTTAACGATTCAGTCTCAGAAAACTAAAATTATTCGAAAAAACATTTTTCTTGCTCGACAAAAACGTTATTTAACTTTTCCCGAACGCAGCAACTTTGTGGTAAGTGAGACAGTTTAAAAATAGCTTTATATGAAATAATTTCAGATAAGTATGACTCTCGGTAAACCTTTTATGATGACTCAACCTAAAGGCTTTGTGCTTTGTCTGGAATGCGATGTTCCTTTTCCTTTACCGAGTGATACAAGATTGCATAAAAGTTTCAAAAGAAATCATTACATTCAGAAGAGGGAACTTTTAGCAAGTTTTGAAAGCGCTTTTGATAAGTATTATAATTTTTACTTCACAAAATCGAATGTTTATTCAAATGTGATTCTAGATACGATTTAAATGGTAATGCTTGCGTAAAAAGAATGATATGTGAGGCTCAACAGTTCATCGATTCTGAAACACAGTCTTTTGTAAAAAATGTTTTCCAGGCAATTTTTAGCGAGCCAGAAATTCGGACTAGACCTTGCAACATGTCCACTTTTTCCAATTGCACAATTTCCGTAATGAAATATATTTTAGGCAGTTTCAAATTTGAATAAATTTTGTGTTAGGCAACCTAAAATACAATATTATTTATTTTTTGAATTTGTGTATTTTTCATCGTTAGTAAGTTTAACGAACAACTGCTAACTTCTTAGACAGATAACTTGGTGACAATTTATTTATGTTTTAATCAACACGGAATTAGTTTGTGACAATGCAGCTTTTAACGCACATCTTAATATTCTGCTTAATCACTCTGACTATTTGTCAGTTTACGAAAATAACGCGAAATAATGTTTTTCTCTCGCGAAAAAAACGTTACTTGGCGTTTCCAGAAAAAAGCAATTTCGTGGTGAGTTAAATTTAGGAGTTAATTAATAATTAATTCTAGATTTCATTTTCTTTGAGTAAACCGTTGATGGAAGAACAACCCAAAGGGTTTAATGTCGTGCTTGAGTGCGATGTTCCTTTCCCTTTACCAAGTGGTACAACTCCTTTAAAAGACTTGAAAAAATTCAAAAATTCGCGACATTACAGACAAAAACGTGATATTTTATTAAGTCTAGAGAAAGTTTTCAACAAGTAAGTTTCACCAACTTGGGACTTGTTTTCTACACAGTTTTTCTAGAAATGGACTAGACGGTAATGCTTGTGTAAAGAGAATAATATGTGAGGCACAAGAATTTGTAAATTCTGACCGAATTTCTTTACTTAAAGACATTTTAAAAATCTTATTTTCGTAAGTCTTTGTTATTGTATGTCACTATCGTCGATTATTTTTTTTAGTGACTTTGGACCAAATTACGTTAAACCGTGCTACTACAAGACATTTTTTGAATGTCCGCTGCCACTTATGGAATCCTTTTTATCAAGTTTTTAATGTAATAAATGTGTAAATAAAACTTGTAGTTGTATTACATTAAAAAAAAAAATACACCCATCAGTGATTCAAAGCCGTTGAATTGTCCTACATGTAAAACAACTGATGGCCCTGGCTATTTTTTGTCTTTGGGACGTAAACATTGACAAAGGTAGATAAAAATAACATTTATTAAAACTAGTAGCTTTTAAATGTTAATTAACTATTTTATCACAGATACTTAAATCTGTAATTGTTTCACTAGAAATGCTTTAGTAATTTTAATTTTCCCATACTATAAACTAAACACGAATTTTTTCGTTAGCATATTTGATTGGTTTTATCGTAAACGCAATAAAATTGAAATAAGTCAGTTTCAATTTAAGACTCTCCGAAACAAAAACTAAGTTTTAGTTAAAACTCCTCTCCAAACTTTTAATTAATTATTATCGTAGGAATATATTTTGAGCTAATTTACAAACTTCTTCAACTTTACATGCAAAATAGGTAATTCTAGAAACTATTTTTTGTACAATTTATTTCAAATATACCAGGTGAATAAAAAGTATGAAACCAAACGTTTTTTGCTTAAGCTATTAATTTTTTGAAAAAACTAATTGCTGAATGAATGATAAAGTACTATAAAAATGTGATGTTTTATCAAGAATAAAATTTTTGCATTTTTTTTGAGTATTACAATTTTTTTATTTTTTTTAAAAGGCAGCCCACTATAAAACCAATTTTGTCATAGAGGTTATGATCTAAGGATTACAACGATCTACTTTATATTTAATTAAAAAAAAATTGACGAAAAAAAATCGCTTCACTGAAGAACAAGACAAAATTTCGTTCTCAAAATACGATCACATTTTTTATATTACTTTAATTTATATTAATTAAACCGCTTGGTTCCATACTTTATATTCACCCTATATATTTTGATTGGCAATTTTAGTCTATAATGTAGGTACTTTCTGTGATAATTGTTTTTCGGATTTATGATAATTTATATTTTAGTGTATTACATTTATATCAGATTCTTTTTTCCATTCAAGTGTGTTCTATCAAAAAAGTTTTTAGGTAGAGTTATAGCTTTTAGGCAGGTATTTAGTCCACTTTTTCATATATAGTTGGTATTCAATTGCACCTGTGGAAGCTTTTAAGCAAAAAAATTACAAAATGAAACACAACACTGGACATTGTGCAAACAAAAATTATTACTTTTTAAAATTACAACTGAAAAATATAGTTTTGCTTTAATTTTATTCGTTTCAACTTATTTTTAACCTGAATTTTGGACTACCACCAATACCACCCATTGCATGTTATGTCACATTTTTTCTTTGTATGTTTTTTTACAAAAATTTTCAATACTTGTTTGCATGAAATAGCAACAAAAAGCAAAATATAATTTAAAAAAGTGACCAAAATATAAGCAAATAAATAGAAAAATAAACAACTGTTTTCTAGATTTTAATTATACAAACAACTCGGCTTCGCCTCGTCCGGAAACAATCATGCAAAATGATTGTACTTCGCAAAAAATTGTACTTTAGGTATTTGTAACAAAATAGCTATTTTTGCAGTTATTTTTTAAATAAAAAAAAACGCATGGTTTAAATTGAAAACACGTTATTAAATTTTTTTAAATTGAATTTTGGACTACCACCAATACCACCAACTGCATTTTATGTCCCATTTCTCCTTTTTATGGTTCCAAGTTTTTTATGAGAAAAAATAAAGAAAAAAATGCAACTATACTTTTTATTAGGGAAATTAGTACAATTAATACCTAATACAAAATCAGTCTTATATTTTATACCATATAATTCAAAATGGAAACCAAAAAATAGAAAACTGTATTGTGGATTACATGGTACATTTTATGAGTATTGTGTTGTTAAAAACTCTTCTACAACATAAATAAAATTAGGTTAATTCTATACAACAACAATAATTTTTTCAATCGCAAATTGGTAGAGCCCTGCAATGCGTATATTCCAGGGGTTTCACATGTCTGTCACAAAATCGGTCAGGCAGCGCCATCTCCTGTCCATCTACACACATCACACTTCTCCTTTTCAGCACTTTCTCTCCCTGAAAGTTCCATTTACGCCCGCTTCGTCCAGATGTCCCTACTTACCTCTCTGGAGCACGTCACCGGACAACTCTGCCAAGGACCCACCCACCAGTGGGTCGGACAAGGATCGTCATTACACGTCCTGACCATCATATCGGGGCGTTCCGACCCATCACACGTTATCTCATCCACAATCCTCGACGTCCCATCGACCACCGATGGGACACTCCTTACCGTCGATTCCTGGCACAAGGGTCGGCGCTCCTGCACGCCTCCACCACACGTGGCCGAGCACTGCGACCAGTCACCCATGATCCACGTGTATTTGAGTTGTTGGGTCGTTTCGGGTTTTGAAATCGAGTACTTGTATTCCACGCCCGGGTTATGGACTTTTCCTCTGAAAATTACCTGAAAAACGACAAAAAACTGAAACAACGCTAAATCACAATGTGTGGTCGCATGTGCCGGCAATATTTTCACGATTGCTGCCCGATAAAATGATAAAGGATTGCTAATATTGCTTGCAAAGTTTTGAAAAATTGCACCGGGTTTACCATTATTGCAAGTGATGGAAATTTCAATGAGCAAAAAGGCAAACTCGAATAAAAAAGTAAGGAAAAACGTGTTTCGCCGAATTCAATTAAGTGAATTCCCTGTGTATAATGAATGAACACGCAGTGTAGCTCACGGTAAGGTCGATGAGAAACGACAATATAAATCAAGAGGAAGGAGAAGTAGATTTTCGAAATGACTTACGTAAACGACTATTGGTTCTCGTATCGGACCCGGTATTCGAATCTTCTCCAACTGGTTGTCCCTTTCGTAAAGGGCTTGGGCCCCTGCCACGGTATATTCGCCCGGTAACGTGATGTGACTGCAAAACAAGCAATATCGTGAATTAAAAGACAATATCGTTACAGAGAAGAGGATTCTGGGACGATGTTATCTGATACAAACAAGTTTATTTAAATAACGAAACATGCGCTTTTTAATTTTTTAATTTTTCTTAAAAAATTAGATATGTACTTGTAAGTCTGGTTCGTCGTCAAAGAATGTTTATTGAATTTTTTAATGTCTCAACAACTGTCCTAAGACATAACAAGACAATTTAAAAAAAATATCGAAAAAAATTATTTCATTCACTCACAATGTCAAAGAAAGCACTTAAAAACGCGCGTTATTCCATTTAGCAGGTTTACAAAAATAGAGTAAAGAAAAAAAAAGACAAAGTAAACAAATTTAATTTGAAAACATGTATCTTTATGAGCGGTTGAATTTATATTTTGTTTGTAAAAAATAACAAAACAGAAATTCTACAACTCCTACCTTTTTATTTTGTTGTATATCTTCCAACATTAAAATATTAAAACGATTCCAAAACCAAACTAAAAACTAGGATAGCGGTATTAATATTGAAAAATATTTGTAATTTTCGTAGCTGTTTAACTCTTTCAGGTACACACTTTAATGTATTTAAAATACCGTACAGGTACAGCTATTTACTGGATTTTAAAAATAATCATTTTTCAAGTTGTTTTAAAAAATAGGTATTAAAATAGCACTAACTAACTAACACTTCATCGGTCTATGACCAATTATTTTAGATTTCAGACTTTTTACTTTCTCCGTAAATCTCATTAACTTCATGAACCCCTCACAAAATTTCGTACATTTTTGATAATTTCAAATTATTCTTAATATGAAGTAGTCATGGTCTATTACTTATTCAGTGACATAATAGGCATTAAAAAAATAAATTAATAAAATAAAATAGTAACGAACAAAGAAAAATAACAACAAATAATGAAAACAAAAGCAAACTAAATAATACGTACGATAGCTAACAAAAGTTATTATTTTTTGGAATAATATGCTTGAAAGCAGTTTTTCTGTTTGCCTTAACAAAGAAACACTCTACAAGTTACACACTGGCAGTTACTTCGAGACTCTTGTTGCTTGGTGTTACATAATGCAAGTATCAACGAAATAGAAAAAAATTCAGTGCCACCATTTATGACTTTTTCAATTGAGTACAGTGACGGACAGTGAACTTTGTCCAACCAATTTCCATGACAGAGTAAAAGTGTAAATTAGTGTTTAGGTTTTTCTAACCTTGTTTGAGAACTTTGATGAACATTTATCATGTTGATAAAATGCCCGATATTCCTTATATACTTTTTACCTGTGCTTTGTCTTACATTGCTTGAGGTATAGTACCAATCCATTTTTAGACGATCCAAAATGAATAAGAATTTAATTAAACTTGACAGTGTCAGTTATCATGACAATAAAGTACAGGCTACAGTGAATTTTTGTGAATTCACAGAAATTGGGTGGACGAAATGCACTGTCCATCACTGTACGTCATCAACTGATCAAATTTATCAACAAAGTTCATGTTATTGTTGTAATTTTTGACAACGTCAGGTCATACCATTCATATCTCAAAAAACTAAGAATAATTAAGAATAATACAAAATACAGTTAGTAAAAAGCAAAATTTTATCAATGTAATGTTAAGCGAATGTGGTTACCTACATAGGTTGGAAATGCTCAATGACGTCACGAAGCCTACAAGTCGAAATAGGAAAGTATGTGCCTGATAAACCCAAGGATCGTAATTCTAATCCCAATGAAAGAATTTTTTTTGTTTTGTTTTTTTGTTCCTCTTTGTATTTATAATAATCATTATCCATTATGTGTATATTCTCAAAAAACAATTCAATTTTTTTTAAGTTAAAATAAGTATAAAAATGTAGGTATTTCAAACTTATTAATAAATTGTATAGTTTTCATAATAATTTTAAGTTCATTGATTGTAAATAAAAAAAATGTGGTAAACTCTACAAGAATAATGTCTGTATTATTAAAAATATCACCATTAATGAGCATAACTGCTCAAAAATATAAATTAAGGTGAGTTAAAAAGGTGGGTTAAATTTTGACCCACCGGCACCGTACCGATTCGGCCAAAAATGTGGTGGGTCCCTGAAAGAGTTATTAAATCGACAAAACGCATGGTTTAAATTGAAAAGACGTCATAAAATTTTATTAAATTAAATTGACTAAACAAGAAAATTACTCAAAAATTTATCCATAAATGAAAATTTATATCAAAAACTAATAATTACACAAAGATCAGCGTTTGTCACAAAAACTTTATTCTTTAAGGTTTTTTTAATTTTATAATAAATATTAATTAATCTATGTTAATTACCTGAAGAAAATTAATAATTTGTGTTACTTCTATGCTAAAGATGTTTAGTACAAAAAAAATTGTAAGAAATAATTAATAAGTTTATTCGTTTTCTCAGAGACATTTTGTGCAGCTGACAATGCCCAATGAAATAATAATAATGAAATAATACAAACCATTAGTTTTCTTCCGTACATTAGCATTCTAATAACATTTATTATGAGGAATAGTGAAAACAATAAAAAAAAGTTTACATGCACGTAGCAAACGCTATTTTTTATCTAGTTAGGTACATATTAGATAAAGTTCAAAAGTTAATGTTAAAATATACTCTTAGTAGACTTAGTAGACCTGCATAATGAGAATATTTCAATATACGAGATGAATAAAAAGTATGGAACCAAACGTTTTTTGCTTAACTTAACAAAATAAATTATACTATAAAAATGTGATGTTCTAGCAAGAATAAAATTAAGTTTTAGAGTTCTACATTTTTTTTAAATAGCAACCCACTATAAAACCATTTTTCTCATGAAGGTTATGATCTAAGAGTTACTTTACTTTATATTTAATTTTCAAAAAATTTTTTTTTTACATAAATTACAATTTTGACAAAAAGATCGCATAACTCAAAAACAAAACAAAATTTCGTTTTCAGTTTTTTACATTACTTCAATTTATATTAATTATTATTTTATGAAAGCAAATGATTTAAAAAAAAACGCTTGGTTCCATACTTTATATTCAGCCTGTATATTCCACTAAAATTCTAAGTGAAATAGTTTAGCTGGAGTCGGAAATTTATTGAAAATGATTCAAAGTCTATAAATAAAAAAATAGCAAAACAGAGAATAGTAAGATTGAAAAATTGCCACTGGAGTAAAATGGTCTTTTTTTCTTTTTGTTTTCGAAAAACATATACTGTTATTCAAAATTAAAAATGCTGGACAAATTATCCGGAAATATGGCTGGCGGAAGAGAGGAAACACCTCTTCTACACATTTATTGTGATAATTTTAAGAAGCAAACAAAAAAGAAATTTTGTTCAAGGAATATCCTTATTTCAGAAACGTAATAAGTGAAACAATTAAAAAAAAAATACAATTACGAGTATGAAAATATTTTTTAATACATACTTACAATATTTTGCTTTTGTCATTTGTCATTTAAGCCTTCACTTAGAATGATTAGAATGTTAAATGTCAATGACACAAGTTGTCTTATTTAAACAACTGATCGATTATGAATTTGGGAATTTGCTGATTGAAAAATTCCTTGCCATTTACTTAATGTTCGAATTCGCATCGCTTTATCGTAATTCAAACCTCCCAAAATAAATTGTTCGTTGGATAATTCTCGCCGTTGATGTATTTCGGGCTGTTCTAATTAGCGAAACAATTTTCTCGTAACGTACCGTTTTCCATTGAGATAGAATTTCTTGGCGAGAGCGCTCCCAATGCTGATGTAGTTTTCGGAGTGATCCTTTTCCTCGATGCGGATATTCCGTGCACCGGGTGGTATTACTACAACTTCTCGATATCCCGGAGAGTGGCTCTGTTTGCTGTACAAGCCTTCGATTTTGTCGCATTTCGTCCCGTCTCCTTGACAGATCCCGCACTCATCTTCTTGAGCCGTGGAGTCGACCACCCAGTCGCATCCCACTTTCTGCACGAATTTAAAAACCTTGCTTAAAATTATTTATTGATCTTACTCTGCAAATCCCGGAGATGCAGACGTCGCGCGCCCCCACGTTGCAAGGGGTCCCGTCGGCCGCGAACTCGCCCCAAGGAACGATCACCGTTTCATTAGCGTCGCTGCAGTATAATTGACACGGCTCTTCTGCAAACAGCGACTTATCAATGTATCAAAAAACATATTATTTACCTTGGTCGAAGTAGGGCTGCCACGCGTACTTTTTCCCTTCGTAGGTCTTGTTGTTGTGTTTGGAGCACTGGAGGGCGCGGAATGTGAGGGTGTTGTCGGGGCAAGGATCGGTGTTGCACATCCGGTAGCGTCTTCGCTCTCCAATGCAGAAACGGCCTCCGGCTGTCGGTGTCGGGTGGTCGCATTCTCTTTGTGTGACGGACACGCCGGCACCACAGGTGCGAGAACATTCACTCCAGGAACTCCAGTCGCCCCATCCGCCGTCGATCGCGACAGGGGGCTCCATTATCGGCACGCATTTCTGATCCTGACACCACTGAAACCGATAAAACTATTATTAATTGCTGGTTCAACAGAAATCATTTGTCTCGGATTATAGCGACAGAGATGACACACGAGGGATAATTATGACGGGGATTGATAGCCACAGTGGCATCGATAAGTTCAAACAAGCAACATTTTTACAAAAACTGCAGTTTAATTTAATAAAATTAATAAAAGGTCTCCAAAATATGAAAACACTTGTTTTCCATTCCTTTTCATTATCTTGTAAGACTGAACTAAAGCGAAATTAGGTACGTAGACATACGAAAAATAATGTTAAATATTTCAAAAATTTTCTCAAAAAAGATTCTTCTTCGAAACCGGAGTAGGTCAATTCGACCACCAAATAAATTTAATCCTCTTACGGTAAAAGTTGGGGATTAAGAAGATGAGTCAATTCGACTACCAATACCTGCAGGGGGTTTGAGATTGATAAGTTTTGGTATTTATGATTTAAATAAACAATATGAGAGAGGTAGTTTAAGGTAGTGAACAAATTTGGACTTTGACGGAAGCGGTTTGTTATTAGCAATAATGGAAAATCAAGAAGCACAAAGAAGAAAAAAAGGTTGAAAGTAAAGTAAATTATGCTAATCAAAAAATTCATGAATATAATGTGAAAACAATATCTAGATTCACATTTGTTAAATCAGTATGTAGCAAAGACTTGCCAAATTCATTTAAATTAAATTAAATAAAAATGTTTTAGTTTACTTTCAGTTGATATTTTCTTTATTTTATCCTCCTAAAAGTTTGTGACTGACCAAAAACTGCATTTTTAAAACTTTTGGCTTTCAAATGTGTGGATAAAAAATGATGAAACCTATTGCAACAGTCAGTCTCATAACAAAAACTGACATTTACTTTAATAATTTTTTCAATAATTAATTTTGTTACTCCAAAATATCGCTAAAACAAATATTTCTTGATTTTTCTAGATATCAAGCAACAGTGACTCAATTTATTGTTAAATGCATTCATATTTTTTTATCAAGGTTGAATATTCTAAAATTAATATTCTTAAAGAAAATCTGGAAATAGGACAATACGAGTATATACTATGTTTCCGGATTGAGTTAACTAGAGCAAAAAATTTTATCTTGAAACGAGCATATCTTTCATTATTCTGACTCATTGAAGAGAAAAGTTAATTTTTTTCTTGATTTTTAAATCCCATCACATTCATGGTTTTATTGTTTTGATAAAGATGTCACTTTGATAATTAATTCATTCATTGAATAAAGTATGTTTTTATTAAAAACTTCCTGTTTTTTATCTTAAAGCTGTTTTTAAATTGCCATTTATTAAAAGTATGTTTTTGCAAACATTTTTGTTATTTAACTTTAACTTTGCACGTTTCAGGTGAAGCAAAAAATGTGTTACGTTTGCAGTTTTGGTATAAAATCAAAGATAAAATTAAATTAAGAGCCTTAATATCCACCCCTTTTTACGTTTAAAAGTCAAGCCAGAGATATACATATTTGTAATTTTTAGCATTTTATCTCTTTAGAGGGATGAAATTTTAGCCTCACATTTAAGTACTTAATTAAGATAAGATAGCATAAAATTAAAAAGGCAATTTCATTAGTCCTTTTTATTAATTTTAGCTTAGATGCCTGTTATTGAATTATGCAAAGACTAGGTAAATAAATTAAAACGATATTTTTGCAACGTTTTTTTTTAAAGAGTTGACTGATGTTTTGTAAAATAATATTCATGTAATTTTCCACCCTTGCTTTTAGTCTAGATCGCTCCAAATAACACGAAATCGATGTACAAAATATAATAACAAGATTCATTAAAAGTTTTCATAAAGAAAAAGCAAAATTAATTTCAACTCCAACTCACTGATTAAAAAGAAAATTTAAAAACTTTGTATGATTATTCTTCAAGTGAACGTTCCTGAAATTTGTAATAATCTCAGGTAAAATCAGTTGCAAAACCCGAAATTACTTTGATAATTTATTTACGTTAATAAATAATGACTTGCGCTCCATAAAACGATTAAAGAGGAAGCAATTATGTCGTATGTGTATAGTTAATTAATTGCAAATGCGAGTCCTAGGTGGTCTTTGATAATTTGCATCCAATTTCATAAAGACCTGTTTTGTTTTAATTACTAAAGACGCAATTATAAAAACTGTCTCAAACCTTGTGTTTTCCGCAATAAGTCCCGGGGGCTGCCGGCCTCAGCTGCGTCGTACAAGTGTCATTTACGAGACACCACAACCTCACACATATCTCATCCAACGGCGAGCACACAGTCGTCTCGGCCCCAAATTGAAACCGGCACTGGTAATCCGCGTTGTACATTGCTCCGGGGGGCAGTTCCGGGTATTCGTAGTCTTCATTATCTTCCGGTTCGTCTTGCAGACACAGTCCGAGTCCCTTGCTTAAAAAACGCAAAGCATATTTCAAAACGCCACATAAATTGCGCGAAGGTAATATTAAAAGGTAATTAGGAGTGTCTTTAAATTTATGGTGCTTGTAATCGGAAAAGAGGCACTTACTCAAGAAAGTTGGTGATGTCGCGACGGCTACATCGAGACCAGCTGACCCCCACGGTGTCGGCTTCGAAGCTCGGAGTCATGATGTGCGAGGTGTTGCCCTGCCTGCCTCTACAACCGATTTTTTCAGTGTCGTGGTACATTCCGAAGCTATAAAAGTAAGACTTGGAGTAATTATCGACAAGTGTTGAAAGATTATTAATTATCATTAATGCAAATGTTGGTAAAGATACGCCCACAGTAGGGATTTTTCTCAGACTTATCGATTTCGAATCGAGATAATAGCTTGCAAGCCGACTCGAATAATGTTTTCCAGTTTGTCATGGCTCTTCTTTTTCATTTTTAATTAAGCCAAAAAACTTGAAAAAGGGTTCGAGTCTGATTAATTAAAGAATATGCAAGTTTGATTATCGTCTTATTCAGTGCGAGATTTAACCAAGGGCGGATTTAGAAGTTTCAACTGGAGAGGGGTAGTAATCAAATAAAAAAGTTTTTATAATAAACAATTAAATATAATGATAAAAAATAAATAAACAAATTTATAAACTTCTTTAATAAAAACAACAAAACTAATAAAATATTCAAAAACAACAAATAAATGATAACTGTGATTTAAATCACAAAATCAATCTTTCTACCAGAGTGGGCAGTTGACCAAACAAGGTGTCAAAGATGTTTGGAAAATGGCGGTCACTCTCAGAACTTACTGTAATTTTTTTTATTTGTTGTGCACTACAATAAACTTATTTTATTATTATTATTATTATTATTTTAACTTGACTATTAAAAAAAAGTATACAACTTTTTTGTTGGCTGGGGGGGTAATTACCCCTTTACCCCCCTTGTGTCCGCGCTTGTATTTAACCAAGGAAATCCAATTCTTTGTTATCTCGGTTTTTAAACTATTCTATTCTACAGAATGAACAAGAACGTAATTTTTTTTTTGCCTTATTATAGTTGCCAAATTTTCACTAACAAATATTTTCATTATTAATAATAATTGGAAAATCAAATTTTCAAAAATCTAAAAACAGTTTTACTCCATTGTTTGATGCAATTTTTAGTTGCCTTTGTTACACAGAATAGAAAGTAAAAGTGTCTAAATTGTGTCTTATTCAAACAGTCATGACCTTGTTTTTTAAATTTAACTCCTTGTTTCTTATTCTGTTGTATTTTGATTATAATTCTCCCTTTTTTAATATATGTTTTGTACACCCAAATTTTGTTTATTTAAAATTATTTTAAAGTTTATTTCAAATATAATTTTAAAAATTCATATTAAAGAATTCAA